TTAAAAAAAAAAAAAAAAAACACGACATGGGTGAGATATATTATCAAGATTCTGTGGTGGTGGTGATGAAAGGATTTGAAATTGAATATTCAAGAATCTTGATGGTCTTTTCAATCATTGATTTATCAAGCAATAATTTCCAAGGAGATATTCCGAAATCCATTGCGAAGCTTAATTCACTTTGAGGTCTCAATTTATCTCATAACAACCCCATATCCCAACTTCACTTGCAAATTTAACGAACCTTGAATCATTGAACCTTTCCTCAAACAAGCTTGTTGGGGAGATTCCTTGGCAATTGGCAAGTTTGATGTTTCTTATTGAACCTTTTGGACAACCAACTAGTAGGATCAATTCCTCAAGGGAGGCAGTTTAATACATTTGATAATGATTCATACAGTGGGAACTTGGCTTTATGTGGAATTCCCTTATCAAAGAAATGTAAGGAACTGTAGCCACTGCCACCTCCACCAACATCCCAAAAAGACGAGAATCCGACAAGTCAAGTGGATTTAGATGGCAAGTTGTAGTGATGGGGTATGGATGCGGATTTGTATTTGGAATGGTTATGGGCTATCTTATGTTTGTAACTCGAAGACGAGAATGGCTTATGAAAATTGTTGAAGGAAAACAATATAAGAAGGTGAAAAGGTCTAATAAGGGTGCCCACTGATGCAATAAAGGAAGAAATCAGCAAAATCAAATGGTGTTATCAGGTAAGCGGAATTTATCTTTGAAGCTTTATTTTGTTGGATTATCTCTTGTGGTTTCTATTTATAAGCAAAATTAGAGTTACTTATGTTTTATTTCAAAACTAGCTCCATAACTTTAAGTAGCACAATAAAGCAATAGTATCTACTTGAAGGGGTGTCTCAGTGTCTGTCTTAGTTGTTGCATAATGAGTCTATGTGCATTTTTCCTCTTGAAGACAAGTTTTTTTTGGCCGAGTGCCCATTTTGCAGCTTTTCACTTTTGCCTTTTTTTTTTGTTCCCTTTGCAATGATTTTTTATTTTTATTTTTATTATTTATGGTTTTTAGCACAATAAGAACATAATTCAACTTCCTTAGTTTGAAATTAATTTAAAATGACATCAGCTTCAGCACTTTCTGTGAAATATCTATTTTGATTTAAAAAAGTAAAATGGTTTAAGTAGCCAGTTCTATTTTGATTTTTATTTATGCTAACTGCTTCAGCACTTTCTGTGAAATAGTTTAAGCAGCCACTTCCTCTATTTTGTAGCCAACATGATCAGTCAACTTTGCTTCCTTAGATCTTTCTAAGAATCAGCAATTTTTTTTAATAAATAATAAAAGCAAATTATGGACTCTGTAATGTCTGAATGACAGAAGTTTTGTGTTTGGAAAGTTGGATAATACAGTAGTTGCTTTTGTTCATCTTGTTCAATAATTGAAATTATACATTAGTGGTTGAGGGCCAAGTTTAGTCAAATTTTATGATCTCATGTCTCCTAATATTTATCGTCAATGAATTATATAAGAATATTAAGATATGAATATTTGGAGATTTAATTTAACAACTGTGAATGTTTTTCAATAGAGAAATAAAAAAATTTTAAAGATAAAAAGATCTTGGGTCTCATTAGTGGGCTTTGAAATATATTAAAAATTCAACAATAAAGTTAGAAGATCATAGCCTAAGAAGTTAGAGTCAAACGATTCTCTCTCAGGATCAAATTTTCTTGTGTTCATTTGGCTTTGTCTTCTTAGTTGCTCTTCTGATTTTCTCCTTTTCTAGGTTTCTTCCTCAACTTCAACTTTCTTGCTTTATTTTTTCAGGTTTGTTTTTGTGTTCTTTTGTTGCTCTGTTTTATTGATTTCAGCTTTCATTGAAGTGATTGGACTTGTCATTCTTCAAATTGAATGAAGGGTTCGCTTTGTATTTTTGGTCGTTTTGTTTCAGGTACAAAACCGACCCATTTTGTACGTCTCTCTATTGTTCTTCAATCAGGTACGAGGAAGACATTTTTGCATTAATTTTGTGTATCTAAGTTTGGATTTGTTTTTTCATCTGCAATGTAAGATAAATTGATAGAGAGAGAGAGAGCAAGTGAATAAATGAGATGTTATTGATATATCTTTATTGTGTATATTACAAGTACAAGGATTCCTATTATATAGGAGAGGATTTGGGAGTAGGTGAGGAGTAGGTGGGGAGTAGGTGAAGTAGGTGAGTGTGTGTGGTAGGTGGTAGTGGGTGTAGTAGGTGTAGGTTGGGTGTAGTAGGTGTAGGTTTTAACAGCCCCCCGCAAACTCAAGGGGGATAGGAACTAACCAACTTGAGTTTGGAGAAAGTAACAAAACAAAACAAAAATAAACTGACAAATAAAAGTGGATAGGAGACACTGTATGGTTGTGTCAGACCGTTGTAGCAAGACAGTTTATGGGGTCATGTCGGACCGGCGTAGAAGACAGTTTACGGGGTCATGTCGGACCGTTGTAGCAGGACAGTTTACGAGGTCATGCCGGACCGATGTAGAAGACACTGTGTGGTCGTGTCAGACCGATGTAGAAGACAGTTTATGGGGTCATGTCGGACCGGTGTAGAAGATAGTTTACGGGGTCATGTCGGACCGTTGTAGCAGGACAGTTTACGAGGTCATGCCGGACCGATGTAGCAAACACTGTGTGGTCGTGTCAGGCCGTTGTTGTAGAAGCTAACCGGTAATAAATGTCGGGACAGTTTACGGGGTCATGTCGGACCGATGTAGCAGCTAACCGGAATCAATGTTGGGACAATTTACAGAGTCTTGTCGGACCCTTAAAAAGTCGCACCCTCAAAAGGTGTGCCAAATCTATCAAAAGGCGTGCCATCAAAAGGCGTGCCCAATCCATAAAAAGGCGTGCCATCAAAAGGCGTGCCCAATCCATAAAAAGGCGGCCAGATAAACCTATTGGAGGTTGAAACAAAGGGATTGATAAAGTGGAGCAAATAGATTTTTTTTTGTTTTTTTTTTTTTTTTTTTTGTGAAATAATAATAATATATAATAATAATTAATGAGGGGAGAGACACACGCTGGACACACACACAGAGAATACACAGGACACAAAAAAAAAATAAATAAATAAGAGAAAAGAAAGAAAGGTATTCTATTTTGGGGAGAGAAAGGCGGTGAGTGGAGTGCAAAAGGTGAAGGAGAAAGGATGGGTTAAAAATTTTGAGGGTCAAAAGTGGTGGTGAAAGGCACAGGAAAATTGATTAAAAATAAATAAAGAAGTGGGGATGGATTCAAAAGTGGACACTGCCAGTGAAAAACATGAGTGTAGTGATTATTTGAGATAATAATAATAATAATAAAAAGAAAAAGTGAGACCACGTGGGTGGGGTGCGCGTTGTTTGTTTGTTTTTTTTTTTTGTGCAAAGAATAATAAAAATAATAAAAATAATAATAATAAAAAAAATGTATTAATGGGGAACGCATGGGGGCTGATGGATGGAATAAATTAAGGCAAATGAGGGATATGATTAAAGTGGGTTTGGTGGAGAGAAAAAGGGACCAGAGAGAGAGGGAGTGGGTTGATTAAAAAAAATGTTTTCATCACAAAGTGCATGTGTGTCCGTCAATCCCGTGGGTGTGTGTGTGTGAGTGTGTGTTGTGTTGGGTGTGTGGAGTGTGTGTCCTCTCTCTCTCTAAACCGTGTGTGTGTTGTGTGTCTGCTGTGAGTGCTGTGGGTGAGAGAGAGGTGTGTGTTAGCTAGGTGTCATGTGCATGGGTGGGAAGATCTTGGGTGTGTATGGAGTGGGTGTATGGTGCTGGGTGTGCCGTGTGCGTGGGTGGCTGAGTGAGTATTGTGTGCTGTGTGTGTCTATAGAGAGAGAGACCCAGCTAGAGAGAGATGAGAGTGAGTCGTGTCTGTATGTGCTGGGTATGGTGTGTTAATGGCTTCTCTTCTCAAAATGCAACCCGAGAGAGAGAGAGAGAGATATCGCTAGCGAGAGAGAGCTGAGGCCGTGTGTCATTTCCGAGACAGAGAACTTGGTGTCGAGAAGCTTGAGAATGCCGTCGCAGATTATGAGGAACATGGCCCACAAATAGACATACATGAGAAAAGTGTTGCGATAGCAGGCTCCGGCGAAGCCCGCTAGAGAGATGACCATGATGGCCACGCCGATGATGATGATCGGCCACTGGAGGAACCGGAGGCAGTCGGTCGTGTTGGCTCGGGTGCTCAGCCATATGCCGCCGCCCAGGATGGGGATTGAGAGGAGGAAAGTTAGGAAGTTCAGTAGCCCGATCACGTGGTTACTATTCCTCATCTGAGAACTCTTCTTTTTTTTCTTTTTCTTTTTTTTTTGTTTTCTGTTTGAAATAAGGATTGAATGCTTTGATAGGTGGACTTTGATGAAGTCGTTGCGGGCCTTGGTGCGAGCTTGTTGAGTGGCTACGTTGGTGAAAGAGAGGTGGACTCCCACTGCGAAGAGGGTGGCGCCGGCGACGGTTGCGGCCAGTTGAGTGTGTTTGATGTAGGTGACCAAGATGGATGATGGTGATGATGCTCTGATCTTGAAGGTGAATGTTGAATTGGGTTTAGTGGCAGCGGAGTCAAGGTATGTGTAGAGGTCCGGCGGGCGGCCAAGGCGAGGCTGCCGCCCGCCGGTGAAGCAGAATGACTAGGTTGTTAATTTAGCTCTGATACCATGTAAGATAAATTGATAGAGAGAGAAATACAGAGAGAATAAATTGTATGTATTCTGATTGATGATCTGAATGTTGTATTACAAAGGTTCAATTGAGCTCGTTTATATAGGAGAGGAGCCAAAAGTGGGAGCCAAAAGTGGCCGAAAGTGGCACTAATAAAGTAAAGTAAAAGTAAAGATTCTAACATCATTACAAACACTAATATACACTAACAATAATCATAACGACAATGCTACGTAGCTCAAATTTTGTGGCTTAAAAGTGACTCAAATGGCCAAAACGACGTCGTTTTGAGTACAGAACAACATAAAAATAGCCAAAACAATGAAATTTTTGGGAATTCTTCTGAATTATTGTTCATTTGGTCAATTGGGTCAGTATTGTTTTGGTGAATTTTGGTTTGAATTTGTGATTTGGTTTTTCAGGGCAGGGGTTTGAATTCAATTCCTCGGGAAATGGGGGTTATGTCTAGGCAGGTTTTGCCCATTTGTGGTAAAGTCTGTTTCTTCTATCCTTCCCTGCGGCCAAGGTCGAGACAGCCTGTGAAGCGGTACAAAAATCTTCTTGCTAATATCTTCCCTCGGTCTCAGGTGAGTTTTAACTTCCCTTGTATCAGGTTTACTTGATTGTTATGTCTCTTTCAAGTAATGTCAATAATTTTTGTTGCTTCAAAGGTCAGTTGACGTGACTTTTTGCGATTCTTGTGCTTCTGTATGTTGAGGATGATTACTTCAAAGTATTCTATCAGGTACATTGTTATTGAGTACTTAACAAAAAGAGAAAAAAAGGAAAAAAGTACCTCGTGTTTGACATTGATCTGGTTGATTTATATGCTCCGGGGATTCAAATGTGTTCTGAAAATGGAGGGAAAATTTAGAGAGATGTTGATTGGGACAATCTGCTTTTGAGGGTAAAAAATGAAAAGGGCAACATATCATTACACGAGGCCTTGATGAATGTTCACCAAGTTGTAGCTTATTATTTGATCACGTACGGTAGATCCAGAAGTGTTATATTATCTGAACAATGACGTGAAATCAACTCTGTTTCTAGCTGCTGAAGTAGGGTTTTTGGAACTTGTCACGCATATTCTATGTGATACGGTTGGGATTGAAAATACAAATGAAAGACTTAAAGGGTAATCACCTATTCATGCTGCCATGTTAAAAAGAAACTGTAATTCTAACACTTATTCTTGATTTCTCTTTGGTTTTTGCATTTTTGTTTCTCAATTTATTTTAAAATCCCAGGTGTTTTAGATGCCTTATTGAAATCAGAACCAAGGTTCATTCAATTAAGAGATGAAGAAGGACTCCACTTCACTTGATTGCATGATTGGGCTATCTTGAAGAGGTTCAGTACTTGTTAGGAAGACAGAGTTCAGGTGCTATTGCAAGGGACAACAATGGCTTACTTCCCTATTCATTTAGCATCAATTAAAGGCCATGTTGATGTTGTCCGGGCGTTGCTTCAGTATTGGCCTGATTCGAGGGAACTGCTCAACTGTCATGGTCAAAATATTCTTCATGTTGCTGCCAAGAGCAGAGGACATAACTGTTTAGTTACATTCTCCAAGCTCCCGAGCTCGAGAAGCTTTATAAACATGAGGGACAAGCATGGAAACACACCCTTGCATTTGGCCACCATGGACTGGCATCCAAAGATTGTATGCACACATAGAGGAAGTGCAATGCACATTTGTTTTATGTGCACATAGGAAAACTGTAATATCAGTGAAATTCAATGCGACAAGTGTAAGGGAAAGGCACATTGTACAATGACAGAAAATTTGGGACATTTGATAATGCAACTCAATTTTTCTTTTAAATTTGACCTTGTAAACAATTATTAATGAATATACTAGAATCTTGAATAAGAAGCCCTAATTTTACCTAGACATAATATATTGTCCAGTTCAAATGTAGATCCAAAATCATTTAGAAAAAATGAGGGTATGTCTGCTCTTGATTCTTCATGTTATTTATTTATTTTTATTTGCATCAAACTCCACTTCCATTAATATGCCAAAATAGGGTCCAAGCAAAGCTATATCTATTGTTATTCATGATTAATGTTATGTAATGGTTACTATTGTGAATCTTGTGCCAGTCCATATATACAATCTCGAAATGCTTCTTCACTTGTAGTGCTAAAGCTGAAGTTCCCCAAAGGTTGTCTGTGCGTGAACATTCCTTTTCATATTACTATGAATTATTATTTAGCATTGACTGGAAGGAAATTTAATGGCCTGCTATTTCAATAGCCATTAGGTGGTCATAGCTTAAATTTGTGGGACATTTTTATCTTGCAACGGTTAACATGGACTGCATTGAAAGCCGCTGGTGCACCACAAGCTTACTGTAGAAAAACCCTAAATGCTAAAAAGAAACAAGCATCTGTGCAACTGGAGCAAGTGAACATAGATAGCTATAAGGACTGATTCAACACTCTTCTATTGGTGTCCACCCTCGTTGCCAGTGTAACTTTTGCAGCCAGTTGCACAATACCCGGTGGCTATAACAACAATGAACCTGACCAAGGCATGCCAACTATGCTAAAACACAAGTGGTTTCACATGTTCATTTTCTGAGACACCATAGCCATGTATAGCTCCATTATTACTGCTGTTACCCTCTTATGGGCACAATAGGGGACCTCAATTTGGTGCTTACTGCCTACAGATTGGCACTGCCACTACTGGGGGTCGCTCTCACCACAGCAAGGGGGAAATGATATCAACAGAGATATTTCCTTGTTTAATTTATTTGATTTGTTGGTCAATTGAGTTGTGTTTTTCTTTTGTTTGCCTTTGGTCTTATATGTTGGTATCTAAGTATCTTGCCAGCATGTAATGGTACATAATGTTTTGACATTTTAGTGTTCTATAATTGTGGCTGTTATGTGTTGGAGATGTGTGGTTTTGTTCTTGTTTCTCCCCACTATATACTCATTTTATTAATAAATTTTTTGTTGGTAAAATAAAAAAAATTTAAAAATAAAGAAAAAGAACTCATCTCGTATATATATAAATTTTCTAAATATGCATTGGGTCTAACTAGTAGAAAGAAATACGTAGAGAAAAATCAATGCATGGCTTAGATTTATTCTAGGTGCAGAGTTAAATTCAAAATAAAATGAGGTACATATTGATTTTTTTTCCGGTAAAATTCATTTTATCCTTTGTGGTTTAATAAGATACCCTCATATGGTTTTGGACTAAATTGCAACACCTAACTCTATTAACAAAATTAAAAATTTACTATTTTACCCTCTTAAACATGTGTGTCAACTAATTACATATACACAGGTTTAAACAAAAGGATTTTACTGAGTTAATTCATTATATATCTATCTATCTATACTATTATAAAGTGAACACCTCTTATGGTGTCCTGAAGCTTTGTTTCTTATGTTGTCACGTGTCTATTTTTTTTTATTTAAAATTAAAAAAAAAAATTAGATAGATGAGTGGATAAGACTTGAACCTTAGACTTATATCAAATGAATAAGACTCTTACCACTTAACTAGCACACAATATATGATAAATGTTTTATTTTATTTATATTTATTTGAATTGCACACGCATCGCGTGTGGCAACCGCTAGTATATATATATACATACACAGGTTTACATATACACATTACATAGAATTTCCCTTAATACATATATATAGGTTTATTTATATACAATTTTATATATGTGTATATATAATCAAATTGGGTATTGATTTGGTTGAATATTGATTAGTCTGACCATAATTGCTAGAGTGTGAGGTACGAACTCCGTTTATTTGGACGGAAATATTGACGATAAAGAGGTAAATTGTAAAATGATCCAAATCACATGGGGATAATTGACTTTTTTAAAATAAAGGAGATAAAGTGCTTCACGGTTAAACCACTAAGGGAATTAAATGAATTTTATCCCTTCTTTTTTTTTGTGCATGTAACATTGTTGGAAAAGTTAAGGGCGAGAGGGTTAAATTCATCCAATTAAGCAGTTAAAAATAAGGTTGCTACTCAGGCAGTCCAAACTAAGCAACATGTGTCCAACTTGAATTTTTAAGGATTTGACAATATATTTTTAAAATATAGGTTTATGCAGCAATGAAGTGAGCCTGAATTAAATTCAAGGCTAGGCGTAGACAAAGATTTTCAACAACTTGAAACCTAAATTACAAATTTAAATATATATATATATATATAATTATTAAATATACATATAAATTATTACAATTTCAATTTGATTTGCATTAATTGAATTGTTTTGACTTTCTTTGTTTTTTTCCTTCTTCAAATTACTAGGAGACGGAATTGAGGATTGGAGACTAAAGAAGTGAATGAACTACTGCAACGTTCGTTTTAAGTTTATGTTTGTGTTAGTAAAAATTTTGTTAAGTCTTGATCGACAGAGATTTAATAATAATTTTAATAAAACAATCAAACAGAAAACCAGACAAATATGTAAAGGTTCTATTGTCTTAAAAGTACAAGTACTTTTTTGAAATAATTAACAATCGAAAGAGTGAAATAAACACATACATTTTTTTTATTGAAATCTTTTAAGTTTATAATGTTACAAACTATTGAAAGCTATTACTAAAAGTTAAGATATTCCTAATAATAATAATAATAATAATAATAATAATAATAAAGACTGATGAGTTTGATTGTTTCTCTGTTTCATCCTTGCCAATTATAGGCTTGAAACCGTCCTTTTGTAACTGCTGGAAGCAGCCCACTTTCACATCAAGTTATATTCCACTACTTCACTTTGTAAGCAACATCTTCCATAGTCACCCACGTTGCCAAGTTCTTTGCTCATCTTGGATTCTTTGCACATCATGGGTTCACAACCACCTTTATGCCCCACGTCTGCTACACACTGCACAAAAACAGTAACAAAAACAACAACAATAATAATAATCATAACAACAAAATATGCTCATAATCACTTAAAACTAAAATTGATAGGCCACAATCAATAAAATTAGATTTGGCCATGATCGACAGGCCACAATTAATAAAATTGAATTTGGTCACAATCTATGCTACAATTGACAGAAAATAATTTATAGTGCAAACAGTTTGTAATGTGCACTTATTGCCTATTACTTAGGATTATTGGCCAGTCTAGCCTAGTGATATTCGCTTAGAGCAATTTCAACCGTACTCTTCATTTTTCATTAGCTAAAATATAAAAAATGTATGTTCTTTATTTTACTTAATTTCTTTTTTATTTATGTACTCCAACGTTACTATTTATTTTACCTATCTATATACACAAACCGTTTAAAGAGCCTCTCAAGACTCTTCAAATGTAGCTAATTTTGAAAAAAATTGTTAAAATAACTATTGTAATAGTTAGTCCATTGGAATGACTAAAATATATGGATGATTGGTATAATAGCTAACAGGTTTCATTTAAAGAGTCCATTGAAAATGTTCTTAGTACTATTAATGTGGCTAGGATGTTTAAATTCAACTTAAATTTGTGGGTAATTCGGGCCTAGCCCAAGTTCAATTTATTAAGTTCAAACTAGCCTTGGGCACGCAAAATTAGGTTAGAGGTTGGACTTGGGCGGGGTTAGAGAACACTCAACACTACTTAGATAACCCTCAACTTACTAAATTTGTTTGAGTTGCACCCCGAGTTAAAATTTATGAGCTACCTTAATTTATACTAACAGTAATGATTGAGACCCCCACAAGACCCTCACAAATCTGGATCACTCATGATGTGGACCCCACACATACATGAGTTCGCCTCACATATACATAGAGGGCCAGTATCACTTTGGGAGTGTGGGAGTCATTCCCAAAGGGGGTCCCAAACATTTCCCTTATAATCCTAATGTAATACGGCACACAAAATTAGGTTAGAGGTTGGACTTGGGCGGGGTTAGAGAACACTCAACACTACTTAGATAACCCTCAACTTACTAAATTTGTTTGAGTTGCACCCCGAGTTAAAATTTATGAGCTACCTTAATTTATACTAACAGTAATGATTGAGACCCCCACAAGACCCTCACAAATCTGGATCACTCATGATGTGGACCCCACACATACATGAGTTCGCCCCACATATACATGGAGGGCCAGTATCACTTTGGGAGTGTGGGAGTCATCCCCAAAGGGGGTCCCAAACATTTCCCTTATAATCCTAATGTAATACAAATCAATCAATTTTCATTCCAAATGTACCAAGATGTCATTTCCCAGAGTAAATTTTTTCTCCATATCTTGTGTTTGGATCATAAATTTGGATAGAAATTTGGAAAGGAAAGAAAAATAATAATTAAAATGTGAATTAAATACAAGTTAAATTTTTTCTCTATTTTCCTTTCCCTTTTTCTTTTTAAATCTTTATCTAAATCCATAATCTAAACAACTGTTTTATAAGTAGACTCTTCACATTTATAATCTCATATCGAACTCTGATGAAACGAAAATTTTGATCATAAAATGAGTACATAAGATCAATAATTAACCAAAATAAAAATGGAAAAAATTATAACATAATGATGGGAAAGGTTTGATTAAAGTTGACATAAAGAGCCAGAGGCTAATCCTTGTATTGGTTGAAGGACTTTGAAATATTTCTCCCTTTTATCCCACCAACCCAAAGTTGGTTTGTCTTCCATTTCTTTAACAAAATGTTCCATTCACTCTTGCTTTCTAATACCAACTCCAACTTTTTCTTCATTTACGACCAACCTTACCACTAGAATCAACGCTTAAAATATATGTGGGCAAATTATTTGGACCACTAGTCTTTGTATTTTGAGTTCTATTTTATTTTGGACTATGTAAATTTTTTGTGACCAATGTGATTATTGATTTTTCAATAAAATGAATCGTGAATCACGAGACTTTTACTATAATATCATGTCAAATTTATTTTTCAAACTTTTAGACAACAAAAAATAATGAATCTTAAACTTATGCTATAAAAAAGCAAAACAATCTTAAAATTGCCAACTTTTAATTAATTTAGACAAATTATATTAGCAGTCTTTATATTTTTACTTTTATGTCATTTTTGTTTTTATAATTTCAATGGATTCGATTTTGATCAGAATTTATAATTTTGTCTCAACTTAGTTGAATTAATTACAACTTCTAGTTTTTTTTTTTTTTTAATGAAAAATGGGCACATGAGTGACCCGTGTTATGCTTTTATAGACCGAAAAATTGTAAACTTATTCAATTCAATAAATTAACTTCAATCAATTCAATAACATTTTCTTTCAAGAACCCTAATCAGTATTATCAATTGAACCAAATTAATACAAAATTTAAAATTAAGGATTCAAAATCGGGCTTATTGAAATTATTCAGACTAAAAATCACACAAGGAACAAAATGTAAAGATTACCAATATAATTTCCCATTTGGTGTATGGAAAACCATTACTAATAGCTTTGGGACCACTGGAATTAAAGACAGAGACTTGCTGTTGTGAACTTGAAAGTCATGATGGCTGATGGAGAAAATTACATAGTTGCCGTGCTTGACCACCACCACTATAGTAAGACTTAGAAGTGTGTATAAGAATGAATAATAATAGATTTATTCCTTCTCCATCTATCATCAAACTACTATCCTTCTTACTCTCCCTTCATATCTCTCTGAATCCTCCCACCTATAAAGAAAACAAAATAAGTTGGCTTATGTTTCTTCATCAATTTCTTCTGCTATTCCTCGTCTTCTTCTTCTTCCTCGTCTTCTTCTTCTTCTTCTGCATGCCATACCTGCCTTGAGGACCAGAGATTTTCACTTCTCCAATTTAAAACAACATTTACCATAACTGCTAATGCCTCTTTATATTGCGGATCTGGTTCTCATATTCCTAAAATGGTGTTCTGGAATGAGAGTACAGATTGCTGCTCGTGGGCGGGGGTCACGTGCGACTGGTCGAATGGTCATGTGATTGGACTTCACCTGAGTTGCAGCCACCTTCACGGCACCATCCAAGCCAACAACACCCTCTTCCACCTTTGTCACCTCCAAAGCCTCAATCTTGCCTTCAATGACTTCAATTTCTCTACAATTTCACCTGATTTTGGCTCGTTTGCAAGTTTGACCCGTCTCAACCTCTCTTCCTCTAATTTTACAGGCCGAATTCCTTCAAAAATTGGCCATCTATCCAAATTGATTTCCCTTGATCTCTCTTATTTAAATGATTATTATTATTGTTACTATGAACAACACACTTTCAATATGATCCTTCGAAACCTAACCCAATTAAGAGAACTACACCTTGATTGGTTGAATATCTCTTCACCTTTACCTCATGCTTTGCTAAATCTATCTTCTTTGACATCTCTCACTCTTGCTTATTGTTGCGTGGGAAATTCCCAGAAAAAAAATTTCACCTTCCAAACCTACGAAAGATCAACGTATGGGCAAATTGGGACCTCACAGGTAAACTTCCATACTTCAATGTGACTAGTTCCCTTCAGTTTCTTGATCTCTCCGAGACAAGTTTTTTTGGCCAATTGCCTAATTCAATCAGCAATCTTAAAGCCCTGAATATTTTGTACCTCTTTAACTGCAACTTTTCGGGGTCCATTCCAGCTTCTCTTGGGAACCTTACACAAATTACCAATCTAGGCTTCGCGGATAACAGTGTCGGCGGTCAAATCCCCTCATCAATTTCAAACCTTGTAAAGCTTAATGGCTTGTATCTTGACGGAAACAATTTTAACGGACAAATACCGAATTCCCTTGGCAACATGAGCCAACTTACTGACTTGTTTCTTTCTAGAAATCAGCTAACTGGTACAATACCATCTTTGTTGTTTGCTCTGCCTTCACTGGTTGTTATAAATTTGAGTAACAATAACTTAAGTGGTGTAGTGGAGCTAGATAAGCTGCTTAATCTAAAATGTTTGTCCTATTTTGATCTCTCATATAATGGTCTCTCATTGAACATCAACAACAGTGTCAACTCTACCTTGACCACCTTTGACACTATAGGATTAGCTTCTTGTAACTTGAGCGAACTCCCAAACTTCTTAAGAGAGCAAACCAGATTGCGTTCTCTAGACCTTTCAACCAACAAAATTCATGGTGAAGTTCCAAAATGGTTATTCAATGTGGGGAAAGATTCATTGCAAAATTTAAATCTTTCTCATAATTTCCTTATAAGTTTAGAGCATCTTCCATGGAAGAATCTATGGTATATTGACCTGCACTCCAACTTACTCCAAGGACCACTCCCTGTTCCACCTAACACCACAATTGTTTTCTCTATCTCAAACAATAAACTGAGCGGGGAAATCCCCCCATTGATTTGCAGTCTGAGTTCACTTCTAGTTCTTGATTTGTCTAATAACAGTTTGAGTGGCTTGATTCCACAATGTTTGGGAAACTTGAGCAACAGTCTCTCAGTGCTGAATTTAGGGATCAATAGCTTTTCTGGCACCTTTACTACAACATTTACCAAAGGCAATTTGCTAAGGAATCTTAACTTAAATGGCAACCAAATTGAAGGACAAGTTCCACGATCTTTGCTCAATTGTGAATACTTGGAAATTCTAGATCTTGGAAAAAACAAGATAAACGATACATTCCCCCACTGGTTGGAAACTCTTACAGAATTACAAGTTCTTGTCTTGAGGTTTAATAAGTTTCATGGTCACATAGGCACCTCCAAGACCAAAGACAAACATCCTTTTCCTAAGTTGAGAATTATTGACATATCTTGCAATGAGTTCACTGTTAATATAAGTATATATATATATATATATATATATATATATATATATATAATATATATATATTATTTTCTTTTTTAATATTTTTGAATAAATTTACATTAAACACTTATTTGGAGTTTCTATTAATATAGATCCTCACTCACATTTAAAAACTTACACTTAATTCCATTTCAGATCAAAATAACATATTTATCCCTTAACTTTACACATATAAAAATACAATTATTTTATTCATGTCATTCAAGGGAAATAACAATCCTTTCTTTGATTTAATTTTAAACAAAAAATTGATTTTTTTTTATTTTGTGTTTTTTATTTTTAACTAATTTTTTAAAAATATTTTTAATTTATATATCTTTTATTTTTTTAAGAGATATAAACATTTCTTTCACTTAGCGTTGGAATTTTCTCTCTCTTACCCTGGCACCCCTTTAAAAGGAAAATTATCCAGCTTGAATGTCTTCAGTATTGATCCCCAGCTTAGGGGGTTTTTTGAAAGTTGATAAAAAATTAATTTTTTTGATTTTTTAGTGACTTTTTCTGACAAAGAGCTGAGTTTTTTTGGAGTAAAAAATGTGTGATTTCAATTTTTTAACTAATACAGCTAAATTAAAAAAGTCAAAAAGATCTTTTCTGTCTATTGTTGTGAACAAGACGAGCGGTTCCCATGTGAATTGTCAGTCCCTTACAACCCCTGTATGTGCTAAGCCCCTTAAAATTATCCCGCTTGGCAATTGCATCCCGATTGAGTGTTCGATTTTCATTTCTCATTCACCACCTTGTAGGGAATCAAATTTACTGCCCAGGTAGTCGGACATGCACACTGCATCATTTAAGCCGTCATACTATATATGTGGGAATTACGTCCGTGGGACAACCGATCACCTACAATAAAAATTATGTAAATTTTTATAAATTTACATAAATAGATTCTTATAAAAAGTAATATCAGCTTTCAATACAATTGAATACAAATTCACTAAATCGTATAAATTTCGTGAAAATAAGAATTATATTATATTTATATTTAACTTATATATTTCTATGAGATTGTAAATAAGAATTTATATATAACTTTTACTTGATATACTATGTTTATGATACACACTTCCGACATAGCTCCAACTTTATACATCTCTCGATTAATAGCACAGAGTTGTTTCGCGTCTCTCCAGTTTTATTTAATATTAATTCTCTCCCTCACATCACTAACTTGGTTTGTTTAGGGATGTTGGTGTGTTTTTTTAACTTTTTGACTTTTTAGCTATTTTAACTTCAGGGGTTAAAAGAGTCTTATTTGGGAATGAGTTTTTTCGATACTTTCCCTTCTTGAAAAATCATATCTCTATTATCATGATACAATATATACGGTCGATTCCATGAGCTGCACAAAATAAAAACTATGTATCTAAATTACATGTCACTTCTTAACGTCATCATATAACTAACCTATGTAGTGATTTTTCATAGCCTGAAAAATTTATTTGCCCTAAAGTCCTATAATTTTTTACAACACCCTGCTTTCCTACGTGGCAACATCTTTCTTTGATTGCCTTTCTGTTTCTCATTTTTCTTCATTTTATATTATTTGTTTATTAATTAAATTAAAATAATTTCATTATTTAGGATTAAAGATTGATTTCAAAATCTCGCTCCATATGATAACATATAAAAACGTGAAAATTAATTTTTATTAATCGTAACAGATAAAGATAAAAAACAATAAACAATTAATTTAAAAAATTAACTTCATTAACTTATAAGATAATTAAATTTCTCCCATAAATAAACAAATAAAAGTGATAAAGTAATTATAAAAATTAATTTCATGGCTTACAATTAAAGATAAAGATTTAAAATAATGATTTTTTTTTTAAGAAAAAACAAAATTACTCTCTTTTTTTTTCCCCCTTCATTTCATTACTTTAATTAAATTTCATTATAGATAAATATAAAAATTCATAAATAATTTTATAAAAATTTATTTCATGACCTAGTAGATAAAGATTAAAATTTTAAAAATTATTTTAAAAAATAATAATTTCTGACTTATAGATAAATTAAAACAATATAAAAGATTGTAAATAATTTATAAGATAATTTCATTGGCTTCAGATAAAGATAAAATTAAATAATTTGGATTTTCAAAAAATAAAAATAATAAAATTTTAGATAAAGAATGATTTGTTAATCTATTATCTATAAAAAAATATATATCTAAATCTTTATTTTGATTTACTCTTTTTTTTTTCTCCTTCATATATAATCTTTTTTTTTATTTTAAATTTTTTTATCGTTATGAATGCTCTTTTATCTATAACTTGCTTATCTCCTATTTAATTCTAAACTTTCTCTTTGATTTAATTTTTTATTTATTCGTTATATCTACCAAATGATAAAGATTATAAAATAAAATAAAAAATTATCGCTTTGAATGAGAATTAGTATTAATAATGAGAAAATAAGTTACATGGGAAGGTGCACCAAAACATTACATTAATCACGAATTTAATAATTATTGAGATCTCGTTTCTATAGTTTAATAATAATTTGGTTCTTTCATGTTAGTATTAAATTATATTATATTATATTTTATTAGTATTATTTTTTTTTTTTTTTTTTTTTTTTTTTAAGGCTGCCATTCGTTATAGTTTCTTCAATTCCATCTCCAATTCTCTCACTTTAAATTTTTTTTTTTTCAATAATTTAAGTTTGTGAATCAATTTCTTATCAATTGTTTTCTTGATCCTTATTTATTGCAAAGGATCGAGACGAAATAAAACTTCATATTATATAAAATATAGATGAAGATAATACAAAGATTGATAGGAAGTTACTACATATTATCAATGATGCTCAGGTGATGGAGAGTGTATTTTGCTAATTATACTATCAATTTAGAGCCTTATTATGATTTAATGTTTCAATTGTTCATGACTCCTATTTTATTTGACTATTTTTTCGTGATGTAACTGATATTAATGTTTTTGTATATAATGATTAAAAAGCTATCATTTGCTTATATTTTTTTCAAGTACAATTCAAATAGATTGTGTGCGTGATGTTCATTGAGTAATAGTTAGAATGATTAAAAGTAAACTATCTAAGATATTTTTATAATCCTAGACATTTCTTATCTTGATTAATTTTTGTTATATAATATTAGGACTATCAGATATATTATTTCAAACTATGGAGAATGATTTATATTTGATATGATATGATGTGTCAAATAGAGGGGAAATCAAAGAGTTAGAGAGTTCTAATATATCAATCAATTGATTTGGTTTGAGAAGTTCTTTTTATAAGCAAAGCACAAACTTAGAATTAAATTTTTAAAAACTACTTATAATATTATAAATTAAAAGTTTATTTACTTCCATAATTTTGATCCTGCAAACAAAATAATCATCACATCACTGATTTAAAAAGTCTAAGTACAATTTATGATAAATTTTCTCGAGCTTATTAGACATTTCACTCTCTTTTAATGTTTGTTTAGTTTGATACAAAATTATATTTAATCAAGTCGATTGTAATACTATTATTTACAACAATTTTTATAATAATAATTCTAGCATATCAAAAAATTTTATATGTAAATTTTAATGTGTTAAATTATTGTTTACATCTACATCTCTCCATTT